TCATATTAATTTATTGATCAATTAGATGAATGTAGTCTTTTTTTTTATCTTTTTAGTAAAATTCTATATTAATTATTCAAATATTTTTATTTATTTTAATATAAATTTCAATGATCAATATTCTTTAGTAGAAAAATTTTCAATAATAAATGAACAAATTTTTTTCCCATCAAATATCAATTAAGAGTTTTATCTTGACAAATATAATAATTGTCAATCACATGGATTATTATCTAAGTGAGCAATTGTTTTTATAAAAAAATCTTTTTATTGAATTAAGGTTGAACCTAAAACAACTCTTAGTCAATTTCTTTTTATCAAAGTAAAAACTTTTATAATTAATAGATCTATTTTAGTGAACTTTTATGTGGATAATCTCTGGAAAGCTTTTATCTATTTAAAAAAACAAACATGACGAAGAGAGTTTTAGATTTCCTTCATGGAAGTCTGATAAAGAATATTCTTTCATTATTGGCATTTATTTGTTCTTTTCTGAAGCACAGAGTAATAGATGTTTGTATGAAAAAAAAAACAAGATATATTAGAACTTGACTTAGTCATATAGCATTAAGAAAATTTTATGCTTCATTATCAGTGATTTGATTTGAGGAAAAGTTTCGTTTGATGAGTGTCTAGATAAAAGATGTGAAAAAGATCAGGTGAGGAAAACAAAATTATTGATTGTTCAAATTTATTCTAGCCTATTTGGTAAGAATAAGGCTACTTCACTACCGAATTCAGTTTAGAAATGATCTTTTTTTAGTGACAGTTTCTTCTCATTCATACTGATAAATAAATATGTTAGTCAAATTAAGGAAAAATAAACTGATTTACAGTGACTTCTAGCCATATAAATCAATTTGCTAACAGATAAGAACTTTTCATATATAATGATATTGACTTCTTTCTAGATAAATATTATTCTGTTGCTTTTTTTGAAATAGTTGATCTTTCAATAAAATAATAAATTTGTTTTACTAAAATAATAATCAATGTATTATTGCAAAAGGAAAATAATCCTACAAAAATTTTGAATAATTTTTTCCTTCGAATAAATAAATTTTATTTATTTTAACATAATTAAGTCGTGTGTCATCTCTGATATAAAGAAGAATATTATTATGAAAATATGTTTTTGTATTAAATAAAAATTCTTCTTTATAATTATCATTAACTTTTGAAATATCAACTGTAATAAGATAATTATATTTAACAATTGATGAATTTTCATTATGATTTATTGATTTATAAAGTTGTTTATGTTTTTGTGATTGATGATAAATCATAGTGGAAATGATTGAGAAATTCAAATAAAAATTTCATACTCAAAATAGAAATAATCCACCTGGAAAATAATGTGTTATCTTTTGATAATATTGCATTTCAGATGAGTGTTCCACATCTGGTCAAGAGACACCAGACTGGATTAAAAAAGACATCACATTTCTATCTATTGGCGTTGTTGTTTTTTGTGCGACGATGGTTTACGTCGAAATTTTTCAATTACATGTACTATTGAAAATAAATTTAATAGTACTATAACTTATGAATGAAAGAGAAAGTTCTACCTTACCAAAACAACAATGCCACATCAATTAAAAGTTTTTGCTCTTCGTTGTAAGTATAAAACAACTGATAAGATCTTAAATAACACGTGTTTTTTTCGGCCCATCGGCGAATTGAAATGAACCTTGTATAGCAGAGATGCAATTCGATAAAATTTTAATAGCAGACGATATTCGTTTACATGTTCAACATATACAGATAAAATAGATTATTTGATCTTTCTCTTAGTCATTTATAAACATATTTATCAACATCTATTCAAGTTTGATTTGATCTTTTCAGTCTAATCGATTATTACCTATTTGATTTAGATCAAAAATACAACAGGTTCAATTTATGATCTTAAAAGATGTCCTTCAACAAATATACTTGATACACCTACGTTTTATTCAACAGTTCGTCACTCATTATCGTGAACAGTATCTGTACAATTGTATAGTTTTTCATCAACTTGTTGTGCTATGGCATGTCATTCAAAACGAGATGAAATTCTTATATATGATAAAGATGAACTTATCTTATACAATGTTAATGGTACTTTAGTAAGTAATTAGTTTTTTATTTTTATTGTTTTTTTTAAATAATTTAATAAGATATAAATACTACGATTAAAAAAATTTATGGTACTCAATCAAATCATCTTATTTCTTTGACTTATATTGTACAAGATAAAAGTATTTTTATTTGTTGTCATGATCGAAAAGAAATTATATGACAATATATTTCATTAACAAAATAGAATTTAATAAAAATTTGGTCAAAAGAAAACTTAGTAATAAAGATGATGCAGGTAAAATATAAATAAATCATATTTTGATTATTACTATTTTAGATATTCAATATGTTCGTGTTAATCTATCTGGTTCACAACTTGGTCTTGTTATTAAATATAAAAACGATCAATTTCGTTTTGTTCTTTATCCAATGGATTTAATATATATATGTTGCAATTGGTTAAGATAACCTACATTCACACGCTACACACAATAGTGTGTGTAGCTTATCCTTGCTTGTTTCAACCAATAGAATTACTGTCCATTCTTTATTCTCATATATCCATACATTTTTTGACTTATGTTGAAAAAATGTTTAGTGAGACTTTTGTTGAATTACAAGATATATTTTAAAATAAGATGTATATGAAAATAAGGCAAATACTCAAATCAAATCATATATGTTATTTCCATTTCATTTAATTATTCATTGCAATCACTGGAGATTAAAAAATTCAAATATGAGCCGAGTCAAAATCTAATTTTACATCATAAAGAAAAAAAATTCAATTAATTTCTCTATTATATGGGAAAAATATTTTTAACTTTCATTGAAGAGAAACTAATATCTTCTCACAGAAGAAAATTAAGCGTGTTTTCTTTATTATTTATCGATGTTTAAATTTATTTTTCTGGACTGCTTATATACAATTTTAAATTAAATAGATTCGAATATTGAGAGCTTTTTGCTAAGAAACTTTTTGAAATATGAATGAATAGAAAACAAATTTGTTCTAATTAAATAGTAACTTTTTCATTACATAAACTTTTATGTAAGTGTTTAATATTAGAATTATTATTTCTTTCATATCCTAAATCTTATCGAAACTAATCAACACTCGGCAAAAAAATTCATAAACATAGTGTAAATTTCAAACTTTTTCTTGATATGAAAAAGCCATGTTATTCCGTTTCTTCCATGAATATCAA